CATGTGATTATAACTTGGTATTTTGTTTATAGTCATACCTCTATACAATCACCAAATTAGGGTGTAACCAACTTGGTAATTATATAGAGGTCTGACTGTATATATTACTAAAAATAGTAAAGATCTACAAAAAAATAGTCAAAAATAAGCAAAATTAAATTATCACCTATTTACGTATAGTTCAGGGTCCTAGTGCTACTATATGAAATAGATAATTTTTTCTATAATATACAAATTGATAATTTAGTAAAAGCTTAAATAAAACAGAATTAATATATATAACAAATTAAAAAATCATAATAATATCAAAGTTTTATTAGTAAATTCAGTTTTTTTTTTGTTATATTGAAAAGGTATTTAAATATATGCTCAAATACAAAAACTATAAGAAACTATTATCTAATTAAACAGATATTAAAAATCTGTAAATCAATATATTTTCTAATATACTTTTTATTATATATAAATAATTTTATTAAACATTTATAAAATATCTTCTTATACAAATTATAATTATATGAAGATAAATATTAGTATAGATCAAAAACATATTTTAAAGAATATATATATAATCCTTTATTATGAGGAATAATAATTTAATTAGTAAACTATACTCTATGTTTCTGTTATTTAATTTATTTTTAAATATATTACAATAAATAAATATTTGTCCTCATACAAAGTATAAGTTATTTGCTAGTATTTTTATAAAACAGATAGATATTGTCATATAGAAAATTAAAATCTTAGTTTCCTTCTAAAGCCTATATGACTTAGCTATAGTCTAATTTTATAGCTAAGTTAATTCTTAACTTTTTTAGAGATTCTATACTTATAGAAGTAATTGATCTTATAGCTTCTATAAGACATATAAGAGTAATAGAAGTTATAAGTCTTAAAAGTATTATAAGTCTTAAATATATTATAAGTTTTAAAAGTATTATAAGTTTTAAAAGTATTATAGAAGTGATAAGTCTTATATCTCTTTTAAGATCTATAGAATCTGAAAAATATATAAAACTTATATGCAATCTTATTATTATAAAGTCTATATAAGCAGAGTATTTCTGCTCTTCAATAAAGATATAGCTCAGTTAATAAATATTTTGTTTTTTTAAATAAATTATTTCCAATCTTTCTTTGATTTATAAATCTGCTAATAATTCTAACTATACTTTACTAATTATATAAACTTGTACTTATATAATATTATATTATTTAATTTACTTTTTAGAAAAGAGTAAAGTATTATTAAATAATTTTTATTTTAGCGCACTTAATCTGTAGATCCCTTGTACCAAATTTTCTCAAAAAATTTTTCAACAAAACTAAATTTTCTTAAATTTTATTAAGTAAACCAAGCAAGTGCCCTTAAGTAAACTTGCTCTACACATATTTTTACATCCTACTAGCTTAG